CAAACTGTGGTAGCTAGATCCAGTGCTGAAGCTGAGTACCGTGCAATGGCACACGGAGTAGCCGAAGGTATGTGGATAAAGAATCTATTGGGAGAGTTGGGTTTTCYAGTTGGTAAACCCATGACTCTACTTTGTGACAACAAGGCAACTATCAGTATCGCTGCCAACCCAGTACTACATGATAGAACAAAGCACATTGAAGTTGACAAACATTTTATCAAAGAGAAAATCATCACAGGCGAAGTATGCACTCCATACATCAGCTCTGAAGACCAACTAGCAGACTTATTTACAAAATGGCTAAACCATTCCAGACATCAAGGTCTTTGTGACAAGTTGGGCATGATTGATATCTATGCCCCAACTTGAGGGGGAGTGTTAATAGGTGTAATATATGTACTGTTCACAGACTTAGTACCCGTAGGGGTATTTTTGTAATTTTGTAGACATATTGTTATGTACGGCCAGAATAGTATAAATGCAAAGCTTCACTCGACTGAAGCTATGTTTGTGAGGCCTACTCTGTAGCCTCTTCTTCTTCTTCTTCTTCTTCTTCCTTCTTCCCTTCTTCTCCTTCTCCTTCTGCTCAACAAAATACATTTCATTTCATCAAAAAAAGTGGATGAGGGCATTGAAAAAATTAAAATGTTAATGTTTTTAATGATTTGCTTCCATACTTTTAGGATAGCTAGATTAGTCATTAAATGCATTTGATTTCATTCAAAAAAGTGAATGAATGTAATGCATATTAAAATATTAAAATTATTTTAAATATAATTTAATTTAGCACTTACTTTTTTACCTTTTTTAATATTTTTGTTTAAAAAAACAAGTAAATTTTTGGAATTAATCGTGAGTTATTCTTTTTTAATATTTTTCTATTAGAAAATACGGTTATTTTCACTTTCAACATCATTTCCTTCTCAATTGCCCATGTTCAGTATAAGCTATCTCCTAGCAATAATAATTCTATTTTGGACGTGTCTACTTTGTTCCAATTTACAAAGAATAATTTTCATTTCCAATGTTCATATGATGCAAGGAAAATTGATCTAGAGACTTGATTATGCCTGAATGTAGAGCTTTTTCCAAGCAAACTGACGCAACCTTTTAGTAGGAGTTGACAAACCCCAACGCATACAATACCTACAAAAAAAATTCAAATTGGATAACATACACAAACATATTTTATTAATCAACATAAACCAACAGCTCCTTTTCAAAGTATCCCCTAAAATGAAGGTCAAAGAGACTCCATCATCTAAGAGCACAACAAACAATAAATCTGTAAATGAAAGTAACATTGTTCTTGTGGGAAATGTGATAAATCAGTCCATGCAAGCAAGCAAGACCACAGTCAGAGAAGGAACAAAACCCCAGAAACTCACTTAAAGTAGAAACAGATCAAAGAAACCGCATTACAAACATGCAGAAAAATGCTCAAATGCAGCTTCAACATCTAATTAAACTGTTCAATCTTAACAATGCATCTAATCTAACCAACAAAAATAATCTTGATTATTTAAATTGAAGTTCAAATGAAGTATTTTTAAGTTTTAACTAAAGGCAAAATTTGTGGTGCATGAACAGCACTCTGAAATAAATAAATAAAAAAGAAACATGAACCAGTGATAAAACAACACATCATAGCTGACATCTTTAATGTGGTTAAAACCTTGATGGCAAGTACACCTTGTGAAATGAGAACAAATGAAAAGTAAGCAGACCATGTGATGTTTTTAACATGATCGGTTGAAATCTTGATCTAGCATGCAGCAAATATCCGGAAATGCACCATAGTTGGACACTTGGACTCTTAACTAAAAAGGATCCAATCCTAAAAAAAAAGATTATCATACTGAAATTTGTTACTAAATCATTGGTCATAAATACATCAAACACTAATAAATTCAAAGAAATATCAATCTCGGTTTTTACCAAAAAAAGAAATATCAATCTCGATTAAACTAGAAGACAGATTATCATGGTTAAACAGTAACATGCCACGTAAGAAGTTAAGAACCATAAAGAATTCAAAGAAAATAGTTAAAAAAGTTATCGAAAGAATATGCCATTGGCATGAATGACACTATACTATAGTCGTAATTTACTTAAACCTCTTCCAGTTTCCTTGAACCACAGCTCTGACTTTCTTTCTGTTGATCCTTGCATCCTTGACTATTGTTGCTACATTCATAGTACAATTAGATCAATTCATAGTATACATTTTTTATCAGTAATTCGTATTATGCCTCATCCCAACTACATGGGGTTGGCTAAATGAATCCTATTTCTCCAGTCCATTCTATTTAAAGCCATATCCAGTGTAAAAAGTTCAATTTGTTTCATACATGAATTTAATTGGTTCAACACCTTTTCTAAATATAAATAGAAAGGAAGGTTATAATTTCCAAGATTAGAAGATTCTCAAATGAAATAGCATGCAATCTTTCTATTTCCATGGAAGTTAAATCTTTCCACCTAACAGTTATATGTTTTTTTTTATCATTTTCCCAAAATGTTGAAACTAACAGGCTATTTTCTATGAGGAATGTGTGAACTTACAACTTATACACTTAGCTTTACAAGGAAGGATTCACTGGATGTTCTAAACTTGGAAAATTGCACAAAACATCATGAATTAGTTCATATGAACTATTTCTTGGCTCTTTGGGGGATGCAGCAAATCTAGCAACACTTTCCTTGACAGTCTTAGATGACTAAACCACTATTCCCTGCTATATTTCAATACAGCCTAGTCTTAGAGGGAAAACTTTATGCCAGGGGCCAGGGTTCAATCTCCAATCTGAGCATGGATCATTATAATGTTGCTGTTTAATGAAACACTTCACCTTTTCTCAAAAAAAAAAAAAAAAAAACAGTTCTTCACTATAAATTTCTGCCACATTATCTATTTAGAAGCAATAGAACAATATTAATCTAAATTGCTTGCCACCTTTGCACCATCATAAGTGAAAGGCCATTATCCAATGCTGTTCCCAGTTATCTGGGATCTTGAAAGTGATGGACTGGATATGAACATAACCACCAGTATTTGTTGGAAGTGGCCATTGTTAGACTCACACTGATGCAGGAGTGGAAGAGTCAAAATTGGAATTTTGTCAAATTTTATGTATTTCTGTATTTTTGGACACTGGGGATAATTTTACCATTTTACAGGTTTTCTATTGGGTCCAATAATAGGGTTTGAATGTCTATTTATAGTTTGTTTATGTTTAAAATTTCAGAATCATTACCATTCATCAAAAAAAAAAAAAATCAGAATCATTGCATAAATAGGATTAGAGTTATTGAGTCTACTTTGAATTGAAATAGGATATGATAGATTAATTTTAATCGTACTAGTATTATTGAATCTAACAATTGGACTCCTAGGACTATTATGAGTCTAACAGTTGGACTCCTATGCGATGTCTAGGCAACAAGGCGCCCTTATGTTTTATTATTCTTTATTTTTTGACACTACTACTACTACTACTACTAATCGCCAAGCAATTTTCTTTTCTTCTTTTCCTATAACATAAATAAGGGTTCAGCCCCTATATTTTTTTATTTTTCTTTTCCTTCTTCTTTTTCTTCTCATGAATATGTTCATTTTCTATACTTTAACATGAACTCTTACTTTTCTTATGAATTATGAATAATTATTAGGGAAATATGGTTATGGTACCTACGGAACTACCCTAGGATCTATTGTTTTCTACATAAAATAATCCACCACCTAGGCCGACAAGGTAAAGAGCACCGATGAGGTTGTGCAGCAGGCGGTTAGCAAGCTGATTTCTTGGATGTCTGTAGCTCTTGATTTTAAAAACTTGAATGTACCTAAGTTGTTTAGATCTAAATCCATTTGGATTTTGTAACCTGCTCTATGGTCTGGGTAGCCATTTAATGGCTAGCTCTCCTGTTGTAACGAGTTCTTTCTAAATTAATAAAATCTTACTTTACCTTTCAAAAAAACAAGAGAGAGAGATTGTGGGTTTTACATGCTTGAAAATGCTTTATATGTTTGCTTTTATTTTTAAATTTTCATTTAAATACACTTTACATGTTATGTTTATGTATTTTAATTTTAGAAAATAGGTTTTTTAAAATATTTATTTTAAATTTTCAGTTTATATTTTTTATTAATATTATGTTTAACATTTTTTGAATTTTTTTTTATTTTTGGCTTTTTTTTTAATTTTCTGACATTTTTTTATTTTATAACATTTTTTGTATTTTAGCGAGTGCCTCAAGCGCAAATTGGCCCATGCGCTTTATTTGCGCCTTGCACATTTAAAACACATTATTCTGGGTATTTTCTCTCTTCTTTTTCTCCATATTTTCTTTTTTATTCCTTCAAGAAGCCATTACAGCTATCAACAGCCATAAATTTCTGATCAAAGAAGACCATTCAACATTGTCCAAGGACTAGAATTGAGCTGGTCATACATCACACACCCATGTTTCTTACTTGTCAGCTCAAGATATTACCATTGCACCAAGTAACAGCCCCTCTTTGCAACTCAAACCTTTCCAAAAATGTATGATTTCTTTCTTTCCAAAGACACCCAGCAACAGAGGGAAAAAGGAGCATACACTAAATAATATCCTTTCTCTTGCAAGTACACCCAGGTCTGACTAAATGGATATCAAGTAATCCACTCACTTAGATGGTGTTTGGAAGCGTTGGCGTTTTTTGGGACCGATTTTTAAGAAAAAAAATGCCCATGCTTGCTAGACCCATTTTTCACAAAAAAAAAACGCCTTGATATGTTTGGGAGTGTTTCTGCCACGTAGGCAGTGAACAACACTATGCTGTTTGGTAAGGTGATTTTCATCACTGTTTTTCATGTATGTGCTGATAGGTAAGCACCACATAGGATACATGTAATCGCCAATCAGTCAACCGTTGGGGGAAACGGTTCACCAATGCATGAAATGCCAAATTTGACATTTCATGAATTGGTGGGGTCCCAATTTACGAGGCATGCCCGTTTTTCAGCGTTTTTTTCAAAAAACGCCTGAACCAAACAATCATATATGTGGGCGTTTGGTGAAACGCCTATGTGGATCCGGTGTGGCACTGTTTTTCAGAAAAACGGCCACGCTTCCAAACATCCTCTTAAATCTTCAGAACATCACCCAGCAAGAAATGATTCCAAATACAGGCTGCAAACTGGAAATCAAGTACTGGATGATCCACTAGGTCCACTACCCCAACAGATTCCCAGCACAAAAGGCAACATCAGATTCATTTGCATGTGTTCCTTGTACACTTCAAGATCATCACTTGTCAAATTATTTCCAACTGATAAATACCCACACAAATTAGCATTCCTTCCTCATTTATTGCTTCCTATCTCACTCCCTCATGATATGATTCTAAATAAAAAAATAAGCATCAAATATTCCCACGCCCACACGTTGTTTATCAAGAACAGTCAACATCCAAATTAAACAAGGCCTCCTTTTTGAGGCCCAAAACACAAATTTGATGGGTAAAATTTATCTTTCTTTCTTAAAGAAACGCAGATGTAACTGTATTCACTAAAAAGTAGTAAATAAAAAGTAATTAATTAATTATAAACTCAAAAAGAAAATGATGTAATTCTAAGAAAGAACATGCGTTGATGATGATATACTCACAGGCGACGCCATAAGCTTTCGTCGGAAGCAGCATAATTTAAAAATCTACAAACCAAAGAGCATGCGATGAGATCCTGCACTAACATAACCAAGTCAGAACACCCTGACATCAATAGAATACAAACAGGAACGTCAAAATTTTAATTTTTACTGCATCAGGAATCAAAGCATTCAACCTAACCTAGAAATTAGACTGAGAAATCCTAACCTCTGAAGAAAGGAATTTAAGGATGTGATGAAAAAGCTCTGGTGGGATCTTGCTGAAAATCCCGGTCTTGATCCGTCTGGGGATTTTGCTTCTGCCAGTCCCAGATTGAGAAGTTCCCTCATCATCAAGGCGCAACCTCTTCGACGGTGGCGCTATTTTCTTTTCTTCCTGCAGAGAAATGAACAATTGCCTAAAAAATAAAGGAATAACCGATCTAAAACATTCAGAAATCTTTCCGTCTCAGATAAAAAATATATCAGAAGAAATTAAAACCCCTAGAACGTCAATATTAAAACTAGAAAACAAGGCATTCTCAATCAAAACCCTATCGATCTGATTTAATGCGAGAAGACCTTCAATTAATAAAGGAACGGGTAGAACCAGACCTCGTCGGATACCTCGGAGAGGACCTCGGATTCGAGAAAGTGAGCCAAGGATTCGTTTTCGTCGTCCGAAACTGACATGGCAGAAAACCCTAATAACCCTAGAAATCGAGTGCAGAAGACTTAAGCAAAAGCCCTTATCAAGCTCTGCCAATTTCGATTCCAATGGTGTGGTCACAGTTGAGGCCGACGCCACCACCGGCGACGTGGAGAAAACGGCCGGCCAGCCTACTCCGATACGACGCCACCACCTTCCGAGATGTCCCGACTCCTGATCGCGTGAGGAATCTCGAAGGTCAAATGGCCACCCTGTACTTTGGGGCTTTTAATATTTGGTCCCCCGAACTTTTTCTTTGCGACAAAAAACCCCAAAACCTTTAGATTCCAACGTTTTACCACTCATCCTATTAAACGGGTTAACGATAAAAGTAATATTACTGAATTGTCCGTTCGAAATTCGCAACAAATATCAAAATGATGAAAAATTGGAGTCCGGATTTGCTCTCAGAGAACGCTCCTCATACCGACGTCACAGCATATTCAATTTTCACTTTGCAATAAATACTTGATGGTTGGCTATTAAGTCACATGAATTTTCCTTTTTTTTTCCTTAACCGTTTCTCTTAAACCCTAATTGACCCCAAAATACATTCATTTTCTCCAAATGAAACAGCTAAAATAACAAAAAATCATTTCTTAGACATAAAAAAGAGTAAATTCCATATTAATACCCAGTACTTTAGGGGCAGTCTCATTTTAGTACTGGAACTTGAAAACATGCCACTGCGGTACCTAAATTCTAAAAAAAATGTCAACTTAGTCCATGTCATTAACAGTCCATCAGTTATTTATATCATGTATGCAACTTAAAACTTTAAAAATGTTAAGATTATCCTAAAAAAGACACTATTCATTGTCTTCTACCTCAATGTTGAAATAAAACAGACATTGTATCATATTGAACTCAAGGCAATTTCTTCATTAAACTCTCTTATGTCGATCAACCCTCCAAATCAAAGGATGCAGCAACTCCCACCTTTGTTTATGTATCACTTGGAAAAAGCCACACAAGAATACTTGTTCCAACCCAGTTTCACTCTCTGTAAAAGTGTGTTTGATGGAAAATCAAAGCCCTACCACACATAGCCTTTTGAGTTAGCAGAGCTCTCATTTTTTAGAACAAGCTTTCGAAATCTAGAAGTTATGCAACTAGGTAGAAGATCAGACAACGTCAAAAATGACCATGGGAAAATGGGTTGCTTAGATTCGAGGCCCCATATGAGGAGTACATTTGTGGTTGGGAACTTATGACACCATTGAGGAAGCAACAAAGGTTTATGACAATGTAACAATTCAGCTGAGAGGACTTGACGTAATGATAAAATTTGCTACTCCGCCAAAATCTAAGGCTCAATTTGGAAGGAGTACAAATACAAATATGTAGGGTGCAAAACCTTATATTATGTTTATTTTGTATGTATTTGTATTATACATATTTGTATTTGTACTCTTTCCAAACTGAGCTTAAGGAGGAAATACAAGTACCAACTAGTTCTGGCTATGATTTCGGCGAGAAGTCACACAATCTTACAAATATGTAGGGTGCAAAACCTTATATTWTGTTTATTTTGTATGTATTTGTATTATACATATTTGTATTTGTACTCTTTCCAAACTGAACTTAAGGAGGAAATACAAGTACCAACTAGTTCTGGCTATGATTTCGGCGAGAAGTCACACAATCTTCCATCTCCAACTTCTATTATTTGGTTGCCTTCACCTTTCAATGAAGAATACAAGTCTCAAAACCGATAAGAACCAATTAAGGAAGTTCATGATGAAACATGCTAACCAGATGTCTTTAGTGAGCTTTTGCCTCAAGATACACTATTCCTAGATGGCTTTCTCACATTTCAAACTTTAACAGAATTGTATAAGTATAACACAAGAGCTTTCTGGATAACCAATTTAAGGAAGATTTTGGTGATATGTTTCTAAGTTCAAATGATGATTTTGGATCGTTCTCGTAAACAACATGGCTTGTGGATGATTACTTTGAGGAAATCGGCAATATATTTGCATCCAATCCCCTCATTGTTCTATGAGAAATTCTCTTAAATAATGAATGAGTTCCGTCATTGTCTTCTGTCAACAAACTTTGGATTGGTAGGATTCGTCAAAAAATTTTTTAGTGGTGGGATTCCGATGGTGACGAAATAGAAGACTAGAAAACCCTTGATGTTTTATTGAAAGGGACAAGATTTTTGTCTTTAATCTCAAGGTAGAAGACAATGAATAGTGTTTTTTTTCAAAGGGTAGTTTTGACATTTTAAAAGTAATTGACAAACTTCTAATAGTGGAGACTAAATTGATAATTTTTTCGAGTTCAAGTACTGCAGGGGCACATTTTAAAGTTTGGGTACTAAAATGAGACTACCCTAAAGTTAGGGCACTAATCTACAATTTACTCTAAATAAAGAAAAACAAGTTTCTTTATATTCTTGTTTCATTTCACTAACATGAATGTCTCTCTTAATCTTAAAACATAAAAATTATCCACTCCTTTTTCTAATAAACCAAGAAAAATCAAATGAAACATTAAATTTATATCTATCAAAAAGAAACCTCTATTGTTTTATCTAAATATTGAATCCAGCCAGAAATTTGAAAAGATCTATTAAAGCAACGAATAGGACTTCAATGTTGTATTTAGAAAACTAATTAAATCATAACTCGCTCAGATAAATAAGAAAATGGTATAGTTTGGATATTCAATAAGCTTTAGAAGACCTATAGAAGAAAGTAAAAAGGTTATTCTTGAAAAATAAAGAGCTTAAGAAGATAATTGAAAACCTAACTATCCAATTTAGTAGCCTAGGGAGTCAAAACATTGCACTTGTATATTCAAATTCAATAATAAAGGCTAAAAATGAAGAACTTAGGATGGAAAACTAAAGGTTGAATGAATCTTTTCAAAAACTAACAAATGAGTGTATGTTTGAAAATTAAGAAAGGCAATCTATTGAGAACCTTAGGAAAGTATACAAAAGGGACAAATACTTTCAATAAATGTTGGGAGGCCAAAACGCTAGTATTGATAGCAAAGAGATTGGATGCTCTAACTTCCAAAAGGGACAATGCTCCAAAACAAGATTTGTATAATGTAGAAGCCCCCAAAACAAACTAGACCCGTATGCACTTGTTATAAAGTAGGTTACTCAAACTACCACTATTGGTATATAAAGAACCGAAAGGATCCATGTAAAAGTTGGATTCAAAGATGGAAGACAAGACCCAAACTCAAATGGGTACCAGATATTTTTTATTGCGGGTACTCAAAAGGATTGAATTCTTGAAGAGGACACAAATGATCTTTAGAAAGGGTCAAAGGGAAATTATTTTAGGGAAAATTCTCAATAGGTACCTTCTACTTTACGTCAAGTGCCAATTTAGTATCCGAACATTAAAATGCGACAATCTAGTATCCAAACTTTCATTTTGGGACAATCTAGTATCTGGCATTAACTTACCGTTAAATGTCACGGGAAAAGACACAAATGCCCCTTAAGTTTCATCTAATTTTTTACAATTCACCACCACTGTTCATCGTCTCCTTTGTTGAACACTGCCATTATTCCCCGCCATAGAAGAGAAAACCAGATAAAGAAAACCAGTGTTCATAAAGTCAGAATTAAACAAAAATTCACCGCCACTATTCTAGTCCAAACCATGGTTTCCGCATCATACTGTTCATTGCTACTGTTCCCCGCCACTGTGAATCTGTTGCCATCGGATTTGGGGGAAGGAATTCTTGCAGTTTTAAATCTAAACTTACTCCAAAATTGGTAGTGGAATCAGAATCCTTGCGGTTTTAGCGGAGTTACATGTAAGGACTCCAGAGTTTCAGCTCTTGATCTTAGTTCTATCCTGGTAGCCTCCAATTTTCAGTCGGTTGCTTCAACTCTCTTGAGCCTAGAGTGTTTGGAGTCATTGGTGCCGAAGCGTACGAATCTTATAGAGAACCTCTCGTCGACTTTGGGTTCTCGGTGTAATGAGATGTTGAGCGAGCTGGATCTGGCAAAGAACGGTTTGTCTGGTTCGGTTTCGGACATTTCGCGTTTGTCTTCGTGTTTGAGCTTGAAATCTCTAAACCTCACGATAACAGCACGGGCGTGTTGTCCATTAGATGGACGCTCTTAAACTCTTTATCCTCCCGCTGGCCATGGTGGTGGCCAGTGACAAGCCCCTTGGATTTTGTTTCATTTTCAGATGATGAACAATGTATTTTTTAAGGGTAATTTTGACATTTAAAAAAATTTAAATTGCGCATGAGGTCACGTGATATACATAACTGACGGTCCATTAACGGTAGGTACTAGATTAACGCAAAATGAAAGTTCGGGTACTAGATTGTCGCATTTTAAAGTTCGGGTACTAAATTGGCACTCAGCCTAAAGTACAGGATACCTATCGGGAATTTTTCCATTATTTTAAGCTGAGGTTTGAAATCAACATCCTTTCTTTTTAAAATCATGTCATCATATATCTTGTTAAAGTCTCCTGAATAGTTTGATTTGATTATTGGTTGCCTTGACAATGACTAAAAATTTCTTAATTTAAATTGAGCTTCAAGTTTGCATTTTATCTAAGTATTTTTGAGTAATTGATGAACATCAAATGGACTTGATGAGTAGGGAATACTAGGTAAGTGACAAGTTTGTTTGAAATTCTATGCTTGTGTCCAATATGGAAAAACGGTTACCATCCTCTAGGGATTGAAATGACTAAGAACAATGAAATTAACTTGTCTTTGCAATATGAAAAGAATAAACTCATAGTATACTTAGCAATAGGAGGGATTGTTCAACTTGAAATGATTGAAACAAGCTATAAATCATTCTTATATACTTGTTTTGTGATTTACAAGGATATTTGTGAACTTAGAATGTGTAAGAGTTGACTCCTAAATTATAAAGTCAACTAAGAAACTGCTTGAAATATGGATTGCTCTGATCAGTCGACTACGTGAGTCAAGACTGTCGTCAGTAGCTAGTCCACTATACTTTGCATTACTTGTATTTAATGATAAAATTTTTGAAAAGGAGTTGTCCTTCACTAAGGAAATCTCTTCCTTTATCATTTAAATCCTTGAATACCTACTTTTGTGAGTCAATATGGCATGATGAAAAAAAGAAAAAGGTCTAAGGCTCTTGAGGTTAGAATCAAGCACATTTATGATAGAACGGGGCCACTATTCATGACCAAGGAAGCCAAACAAGGTATCAAGAACTCTTTACCACTACAGAAGTTTTAGAAGGAAGATTAGTTGGTTTGGGAGTTTTGG